ACCATTATCTCGTAGAAGTCTGGCAAAAATCCCGTCACTCTTGGAAGCCAGAAGCCGTGGACTGCCATCTTCAACAATGCGACCTCCATCAAGAACCACCACCCTGTCGTAGTCGATGATGGTGTTGAGTCGATGTGCTATAGTCAACACAGTACAGTCGGAAAACCTGTCTCTGATGACTTCCTGAATAAGTTGATCTGTTCTGTAGTCAACGTTGGCTGTTGCTTCGTCCAGTACAAGGATCTTTCGTCGTTGGAGCAGTGCACGAGCAAGACACAACAGTTGCCGCTCACCAACACTGAAACCCGAGCCTTCCTCTYCAAAGTGGTAGTTAAGTAGACCATCAAGTTTCATAACGCGCTCCAGCATCTGTACCTCTTTCAATGCTGTCCARATTTCGTCGTCAGTGAATTGGTCAAAAGGATCTAGATTGRTCTTTAAGCTACCTTGAAACAACACAGGTGATTGAGTAATGACAGCCATGGAACTACGAGCGTATTGCACATTAATAGTACCAAGATCTATACCATCAATGAACAYTTGACCTTGAGGATCTGGCATACGAAATAAGGCATTCACGAGGGATGAYTTTCCTGCTCCAGTACGGCCTGCAATACCGACCTTCTCTCGTGGTTGTACTTCTAACTCTATGTCCTTTAGTATAGAAGATGCACCATCAAAATAAGTCAAAGAAACTCCTGSAAGACTCAGATTACCATGACTGGGCCAGCTGGCTGGTACTTCAGCTTGTCTATCATATCCTGGTTCAGAGGGTAGTTGGGTGTAGGCTTTGAGTCTTGCCACGAATACCAGTTCAGCTTCTAGCCGAGAGGCAAAGCGTAATCCCGCTGAAATTTTCGCCTTGATGGACATGGCGTACGACAGTAGCAGCCCAGTTGTACCTTGAAATAAGCACRAAGCATACAAAGAATTGATACGGTGTTTCTTTAAAACCCATCTATGATTGGTTGCCGATTGTAAACGATTGCTGGACCCTTATCGTGAGTAARGTTCCTTGAGAAAGAGAAGGGGACGAAGAAAACAATCAGTAGGCATGCACGACCATCAATTTTATTCAACCCTGAAACAATCTTTTTGCTGATATAAGCCAGGGCACGACTGGCTGACAGATGGAATTACAATCAAGGCGTTAAAATTCATGCGGATGGGGGAGGGGGAAACTGAAGAAAAGAAGAAAAACCTCATAAAGACCCTCGTATCAAAGCTGAAAGTAGTAAAACCCCACCCATATCAGTGTGATACAGAGTATTTTACTACTAACGTTATCCTTCCTAAAAGAGTAATACAACCTAATATAATCTATCTGTTAAGATATCCAAACCAACTCACCTGTATCCAAAGATAGTAGTAAACACCCAGAGCCCACTGCCGCAGTAAACAAGCTAAAAAGCAACGTGACATATAGACTAATACCTTGACGAGTAGATATCATCAAAGTAAATGCTCTAGTATGCAAATTTTGAAGCCTGTGGCAAAATAGAAACAAACTTTTAGATGTGGCATGTTGATAGATCGTAATTTATGCTTACGTAATTAACGCTATAGCTCCCAGCATGCATTGCGCTACGATGCTGCCTCGTGTTTGTAGTTTTACAAGATAGCGGAATAAACACGAAGTTGTTATTTTACTCAAGGGAGCACGTTTAAATTTTGATTGTGTTGGTTCATCTTCGATTTTATYGCACTTATTCTAAGACATGGCWGGCGTTCTTTACAGTGCTTGTTTACGTGCGCGCGCTACACTTTATGGCAGGCGTTCCTTGCCTTAGTCGGGCTAGCGAATTTGCTCCGAAAACCGAGGAATATCCTTACACGATCGTAAGCCATTCGGATCGGCCGAAACCAAAACACTACGAGGAATGCCTGTCACACGATGGATTGCGCGCGCTAGATAGATCAACCAAGAACAACAACTTTCCTTACACAAACAAAATTTTGATGTGCTCCCTTGTTTTACTCCGTTTTTTTCGTCTTTAAACGCTACTAAACCTACCCAAATCAACTTGGCGACCTGTGGCCGGGGAAAGAGAACTGATTCCCAAAAAAATTAACATAATCAGGGAAGGTTGCAGTAAAATCCGTTCCCATCCCTGGAATCTAATCCAGCTTTTATCAAGTTTTTGCAGCCTAAAGTTTGTTGAAGGGCTTTTACCAGAAATTAATACCAAAGTTGGTCTGATACGTAATTGAAGAAAGGCAAGTAAACTACGAACATACCTATAGTACTTGTCCAAGCATGCAGCATCCATCTCTGATGTGTGAATGACTTCCAATCCTGATATGGTCTCCCCAATATGCTCATAGATTGGACTGCATCTGTTGGCTTCAAATCTCGATAGTTGCCGRACAGTCKTCAWGTACAAAATGCTTAAGATAACGAAAAGAACTAAGGTAGGAATGATTGCAATAAAAAACTAGAAGTTCATGACGCTTGTTAGAATAACAACTCCGAAARAATAAAGAAAGCAGGAGATAGATGTTGTGAAGTCGCTTGGTAAGAAGTCATCCAGAGTACCCACGTCTTTCGAGAAACGGTTCATTATTCGTCCAGCAGGGTTGGTATCGAAGAAAAACACTGGAGACTTCAGGACAGCGACTGTCATCCTATCGTGAATCCTTGCTGATGATTTGATGAAAGCAATGATCACAAGAACCATACGGCTTGATGCTAAGATATAGGCTCCGCATACAATAGCTGCATAAACACCAAGGGTCGTAGGGTTCCTTTGTTTAATGTAAGGCATGGCAGCAATGACTTTCTGCCACCAGTATGAAACGACTATAGCACCTAAAATTTTTAAAAAGCCACTAAATTATGATTTACCACTTCATCATCAAGTGTAAAATTAATACACCAAAAGTCAACACTTCCTTACCTTGTACACTGACAAAAAAGACGAACAGACAGACGAGCAATGGAGCTGGTAGCCCCATACGTAAGTAATCCCAGAATAATCGCCATGATACAGTTTCTGGTCCAGCTCCCTTGTCTTCGTCTTCTTCGATCATTTCACGTCCAGTAAGCTCATCGAGGTCATCGTGAAATGGCAACAGATTACTTCTGTCGGTGGTAACACYTTTCAGATCAGCAGTTGCGTAATTTTCAAGCATTTTACTGATAGATTTGTCTTTGCTGATGTGTTCATACGAGCCATGGTCTACGATGCGACCTTCCTTCAAGACAACGATTTCGTCAGCTTGATGAAGGTGTTGAAGTTGATGTGTAACAAGGATTCKTATTTTACCMRATAGTTCTTCACAGATGCATTTGTCAAAGATGWGTTTTCCARCCTTGGCGTCTACTGCACTTAGTGGGTCATCCAGCAAGAAGATATCAGCATCTGAGTACACTGCGCGTGCTAAGCCAACTCTAGCACGCTGACCACCGCTCAGGCTGACACCTCTTTGGCCTATCATACTCAGATCTTCTTTTGGGAACCGACAGATGTCTTGAGAAAGATCACATACTTCTAAGACTCTCTGATATCTCGTCTCTTGGTACGCTTTACCAAATAAGATGTTATCACGAACTGTTCCTGTGAATATCCAAGGTGTTTGACTTGCATAAGCTATTTGTCCTTTAGTGGAAACGTTCCCTGATTTGATTGAAATCTGTTTCAAAATTGTCATGAGTAAAGTGGATTTGCCGCTCCCTACAGGACCTATTACCATAACCAAGTGAGTGGGACTTACATTTAAAGAAATATCATTCAACGCGCATCGTTTTGAGTCAACTTTCCAATCACTGCATACTTGAGAGAGCATGACCGTGGGCTCATTGTCATAATTGCCGTGATCATCCGATCTTTTGGAGGATTCCGCACTCTTTTCCGAGAAAGTGTAGTCTGAATTCCTTGAAGATTTGCTGGGCTTTTTTTCGAAATAAGTCATAAAGTATTCGAAAATTTCTTTTCCTATCCATTTTCTTTGCGACGTTTCCTTCCTTTCTTCCTCCTTCGCAGAACTCTGGCTATAGACCGTTAATAGTTGTTCAATTCTAAAGATTGAAGCCAAAGACTCGCTCATTCCCGAAGTGCTCATCAGTTGTAAAGACGCTGATTTATTGATTGCATTCAATGCTAGAGCAAGGGTAAAGATCTTTGCAGCATTAACATGGATGCCAGAGTATACCATGGTCACTACTGAAACCAGGGTTGCAACTACGGAGAATGTTAATAGCTTGACTCTTGGGAAACTGAGAATACAATTCTTGATACGTGTGACCTTTATCTCTTCCCTAAGAATATAAGTATATTAATTACTTTAAACAAAAACATTAATACCGGGGCACCATATTTAAGAAAAATTAGTCGATTTAATTTTTCATGGATCGATTCCGTCACTAGCCTCCTTCGCAGAAGTTCTTAGGTGACAGACACTAAAAATGCCTGCGTAAGAGGCTATTCCTTCACTTCCGTCCGTACGTCACGTCCATGTACAGAACACCGGGTTCCCGGTTGATGGCAAGGCAAAGCTAGCAAATGCTAAAAACGCCGCAGAAAACATCGTTTTCTAAAACATTTAAAGCCAATTATGTTGTCAAAGATAGATAAATAAGTATTCTTCAATAACACAGGTGTTTCTCTTACAAAAACAATCGTATATTCTTACCGCTCTAGAAACGTTTAGTTCACCTCTGATTGGTAAAAGACCTCGAGCATGATGAGGTTATAACATACCTAAGCTTCCCAAATCCCTTTCGGTAGCCTTTTTGTGTTAGTATATATTAAGTCTTAGTATTGTGTCAAACGAGCTTTAACATTTGAATATAAAAAATATACTTTTAAAAGGATTGTGGTAGTTTTCAAGTCTGGTTGGAGCTCAGTTTTTTCCTAAAAAATTCGGAAATCTCCAAAATTTGAATTTGAATCGCGAAAGACATCCAACCACAGGCAGCCCAAACAAGGTTCCTGTGTATGGTTTATAAGGGAATGTATGGGAGTTTTGATTTTGATTTGACAAGAGCGGATTTTGAAAAAAAACCACTAAGCGGCCTCAAATCGCGCTGAAACGTCGCCAGAAGACTGAACAAAGTAAAAGCAACGACTGCAACAAGTTTTGAGGCAAATTGTTGAGTAAAGCATTTTATTTTCGTAACTTTATCATAATTCCAATACATTCCCTTATAAACCATACRTAGGAACCTTGTTTGGGCTGCCTGTGACCCAACATAAATTTTATACTGAACCTAATATTGTACTGGATTATCTCGGCTCCACGGTTATCTTACTTTTTTCATGTAGATGTATAAAAAAGCATAAAAATGTCGGCTTTTTAAAAAAAATGTTGGATATTTTTTTCCCCGTCAAGTCTTCATCTATGATTCCTTTGTACCTACAGTACTACCATATAATTGGAGTTACTAGTTAAAACCAGAAATGAGGAAATAATAATTATACCGCATATTTATTAATAGAGTGTTTTGACTGTGCATTACCAACTTACCTTCTTATCTCTTTCAATTTGTCCCTGTATTTCCATTCCAACGCATACATTTTCACAGTCCTTATTCCTTTGACCATGTCGTTCACATTGGCAAGACGTCTGTCTGAAATACCAGCTTGTTTAGTTCTAAGTTTGCCAAAGTTCTTGGAAATCAGTGAATTTTCGACAAAAGAAATAACCAATGTAAAGAGAAGTCCAGATAAAGACTGCCAATCAACGAGAACAGTCAGTATCACAACCGAGACTGTTAAATCAAATGAAAATCTCAAAGTATATCTTGCAAATATATATAGTTCTTCCATCCTTTTCGCATCATTTGATACCAAGTTGAGAATGCGACCGGCTGTGGTGTTGGAGATGCTGCTACGATTGGACGCAAGAACCTGTTGGGTATTATAAAGTACTTTCAAAAAACGAAATAAATAAGGGGATTGCCCAACTTTGTTTTGGAGCTATAAGAGACTAAAGACGCTTCCATGATATTTTGTTTATCAAAACATTGCATGGAATGACTTCATCACGACCAGCGCGCGCACACTCAATTCATGTGTGGGAAGGATGCGCTCGATAACTATTTGGTTATTTTCTAGAGTTCTGTGAAAAAGGGGGCCATCAATTTATTTTTTCAGTAAGATGTTGCTTATATTTGACAGCTTTCCATGTTTACCTTGCTATAGTAATTTCAAAACTCTCAATGCATTTTGATTTTGATTTTGATTTTGATTGCTGTTATGTACTCCATGCACCTCTTCTCTCACACATATTTTGTATGTGAAATAATCAAATAAAAATGTTCAAATACCTTTTTGAAGACAATGCCAATACAAGCCATTTTCATTTGCATTCCTAGTTTCAAACACTTGTAAAAGTTATGATTTAAAAAAAAAACTTCAATCACACTAGACAAGCAAATGCCAACCATTGCTGCAATGTGAAGACTTGAGATGCTCTTTTGATGATCTTCTAAAGACAGTTTCTGAAATATCCACAGAAATACGATCGAAGACCAAGATGTGCAATATTCTGTCAAGGTCAGAAGGATAAAAAACAATGTTTCTTTGAGGGAAATAAATCTGAACATTGCCTTCCAAAGCCGAGCATTTCTGCCTTTCTCTTTCGCATGGATAACTTCGTCCTTCCATAACTGTTGCAAACGTTCAACGTGAACCTCTGCCTTGTCGCTGTCTGACAATTCATAGAGATCATCTTCCTTCAAAGGTCGCTTATAAACAACCCTAAACAAACCATGCAGCCAGGCGAAAAATAATACTGACAGACAACTGGCTTGATCTCGTGGATTCTGGTTGGCCATTCTCTTCGATAAGTTCACTTTTTCTTATTCAGTGAATAGTACTCAGTACCTGCAAAATAAAATAGTACAAGTTGTATTACACCTTTTGCTGCTCATTAATCGCAAAGGAATATTCATCGAAGCGAAGAAGCATTGTCATTAGAGCGAACAGGCATACRATAAGGCGAACGGAGTCTCAATAGTGCGATGGAACGTTCATTAAGAAATTTAGCATTGAATTTGACAATCATGAATATGCTTACGTGCGTTCGTTAAGGTTTTCAAACTTTCATTAGCGTTTTGGTGCAGACAATAAACCACAACACACATTCAATACAGCGTTTTGGACATTTATTTACGCAATACAATATAAGTATTCATGCTATGTCTTTTTGTTCTCATTGTCTTCTCATCTGCCTGATTGCCAGTTGGATTCACCTCAGTGCAACTGTCGCTGCGATATATGCAAATAATGAATAAACGTCATGCATCATGAGAAGTTTGATGATATTATATTTATTTCGATTTGTGAGAAAT